TTTTGAGCTAACAGGACTTATATGCTAACTCTAAGTGAAATAGAAGTAAAACCTAACTCTAACAAGTGGCTAATGCTAAGTTAACTGGCGATAGTATTTATTGCAAGCTAACTGTACCTAGAAGTTAACTCTGAGCTAACTGGACCTAAAAGTATTTCAGTTACGGGAAAGGTTTTTGGATGCTAACTCTAAGCTAATAGATTTAGCTTATAGCTTTATTTTAAACTTTGAATTAAACTCTTTTTAAGCATTGGAGATGGGTAACATCTACGCTGCACGTTAAAGACAGCAGCTAGATAGTTAATAATTAAGTTAATAGTTAATAAGCAGTGGACAGTTGTATGCTAAGCTAACACAGTGTGGGCTACAGTTAGCCTCCCAGGTGTCGACCTCTGCCTGTAAAATGTTTCTTCCTCCAGAAGCTGTCGGAGCTCCAGTTGGAGGATCAGTGGATCCAGTTTTAGCAGCTCACAGTCGCTGCTAATTGAAACCAGCAGTGCAGGGTTTTTTACGAGGCTGTGGTTCAGATCTGATCCAGATCTGCTGCCTGTGTGGGACTCTGAGGAGTTCCTCTTCATCATCTTGTTTCAAATGTGAAATTAAATGGGATGTTTTTATCACCACAGTGTTTAAAAATAAAACCAGTTGTACAGTTTAATGAAATACGTCTAATAATGATTCTTTATCATTCTAATATTATTTTGGAAATTTCTGACCAACTATAAAACACTAATGGACGTATGTGACCTCCGCCCAGACTGTAGAACACAGCACAGAGCATACAGAACCAGTTTCCTGCAGACTGGTGATAACTCTCTCTCTCCTGGAGCTTCTGCAGGTAAATTTGGGGTTTTTGAAGGTGATCAACAGTCAGACTGAGCAGCAGAGACTGTGTCCTCCTTCGGGGGGGGTTTAGGAGTCGTAGGAGGTTCAGGACTCAGATTAAGCAGCTATCAGCGGCTCAGGTGTTCCTCAGAGACTCTGAGAAGAGGGAGGTCTGAGTGGGAGGTTCAATCCCCTTACGGCCTCAGAGAAACTCTCTAGGTCACAGTTATTGTTTTACAGCTCCACATCCGTTCAGGTCCACAGAGAGGGGGGGTCACTGCTGCAGGGTTCAGGTCTGTGTCCAAACAAATACTTTATTTACATGTAGAAATAAACACAACAAATGTTTGTACACGTTCAGGATTATTTCTGTTTAATTACTGATGTTTAACCTGTTTGCAGTGTGGTTGGGTAAAGTTGATCCAAAACTGGGCACACGTCAGAAATAGTGAGAGTTGATATCTGCCATGTGCCTTGCACATGGGTGTGGCAAAATGGCTCAACAGCGCCCCCTACAACAATTTATTGAAGCAGCCCCCGTGACACGTTGCACCTAGATGTATGAAAGTTGGTAGACACCGGTATGATGTCCAGACGTACAAGAAAGCCTCTTGGAGCCATATCCTAAATGGTAAATGGAGCTGTACTTATATAGTTTCCTTTCCAGTCTCCCGACCACTCAAAGTGCTTTTACACTACGTGCCACATTCACCCTTTCACACACATTCACCCTTTCACACACATTCACCCTTTCACACACATTCACCCTTTCACACACATTCACCCTTTCACACACATTCACTCAGTGATGGCAAAGTCCATCGAACAGAAACTAACATTCATACACATTCACACACAGATGCACGGCATCAGGAGCAATTCGGGTTTCCGTATCTTACTCAAGTACACTTCGACATGTGGCAGGAGGAGCCGGGGATCGAACCAACAACCCACAGCCGCCTGCTAAACCCAACAGGAAGTCAGCCATTTTGAATTTCATGTTCCAGAGCCTTCACAGTTTAATGAACTCAGAATTAAAATCAGATCCACTTCCGATTGGTTCAGTGCCATCTAAAGACATTCAAGATGAGAAGATGGTTGAATGACGTGTCCATGGTGTTTGATCATTGACAGTTTATAATCAGTAGACAGTGTCTGAAACCTGCATTCTCTCTAATGGCCAGCAGGGGGCAGCTCCACTCTGATAGAATTGAGTCTCATGGAGAACTTATGAGTCTTCTTCCAATGACTGCAACCTTCCTGCAAATTCGACCAATCATTGTAGTAGTAGTTATCCTGTAGCGTAATGTTAGCTCTCTGTCTCGTAGCGTAACGATAGCTGTCTCTCTCGTAGCGTAACGATAGCTCTCTGTCTCGTAGCGTAACGATAGCTCTCTGTCTCGTAGCGTAATGTTAGCTCTCTCTCTCGTAGCGTAATGTTAGCTGTCTGTCTCGTAGCGTAATGTTAGCTCTCTCTCTCGTAGCGTAATGTTAGCTCTCTGTCTCGTAGCGTAATGTTAGCTCTCTCTCTCGTAGCGTAATGTTAGCTCTCTCTCTCGTAGCGTAATGTTAGCTCTCTGTCTCGTAGCGTAATGTTAGCTCTCTGTCTCGTAGCGTAACGTTAGCTCTCTGTCTCGTAGCGTAACGATAGCTCTCTGTCTCGTAGCGTAACGATAGCTGTCTGTCTCGTAGCGTAATGTTAGCTCTCTGTCTCGTAGCGTAACGATAGCTCTGTCTCGTAGCGTAACGATAGCTCTCTGTCTCGTAGCGTAACGTTAGCTCTCTGTCTCGTAGCGTAACGTTAGCTCTCTCTCTCGTAGCGTAACGTTAGCTCTCTCTCTCGTAGCGTAACGATAGCTCTCTGTCTCGTAGCGTAACGATAGCTCTCTGTCTCGTAGCGTAACGATAGCTCTCTCTCTCGTAGCGTAACGATAGCTCTCTCTCTCGTAGCGTAACGATAGCTCTCTGTCTCGTAGCGTAACGATAGCTGTCTGTCTCGTAGCGTAACGTTAGCTCTCTGTCTCGTAGCGTAACGATAGCTCTCTGTCTCGTAGCGTAACGTTAGCTCTCTGTCTCGTAGCGTAACGATAGCTCTGTCTCGTAGCGTAACGATAGCTCTCTGTCTCGTAGCGTAACGATAGCTCTCTGACTCGTAGCGTAACGATAGCTCTCTGACTCGTAGCGTAACGATAGCTGTCTGTCGCGTAGCGTAACGATAGCTCTCTGACTCGTAGCGTAACGATAGCTCTCTGACTCGTAGCGTAACGATAGCTGTCTGTCGCGTAGCGTAACGATAGCTCTCTGTCTCGTAGCGTAACGATAGCTCTCTGTCTCGTAGCGTAACGTTAGCTCTCTGTCTCGTAGCGTAACGTTAGCTCTCTCTCTCGTAGCGTAACGTTAGCTCTCTCTCTCGTAGCGTAACGATAGCTCTCTGTCTCGTAGCGTAACGATAGCTCTCTGTCTCGTAGCGTAACGTTAGCTCTCTCTCTCGTAGCGTAACGTTAGCTCTCTCTCTCGTAGCGTAACGATAGCTCTCTCTCTCGTAGCGTAACGATAGCTCTCTCTCTCGTAGCGTAACGTTAGCTCTCTGTCTCGTAGCGTAATGTTAGCTCTCTGTCTCGTAGCGTAACGATAGCTCTCTCTCTCGTAGCGTAACGATAGCTCTCTGTCTCGTAGCGTAACGATAGCTCTCTGTCTCGTAGCGTAACGTTAGCTCTCTCTCTCGTAGCGTAACGTTAGCTCTCTGTCTCGTAGCGTAACGTTAGCTCTCTTTCTCGTAGCGTAACGATAGCTCTCTGTCTCGTAGCGTAACGCTAGCTCTCTGACTCGTAGCGTAACGCTAGCTCTCTGACTCGTAGCGTAATGTTAGCTCTCTGTCTCGTAGCGTAACGCTAGCTCTCTGACTCGTAGCGTAATGTTAGCTCTCTGACTCGTAGCGTAACGCTAGCTCTCTGACTCGTAGCGTAATGTTAGCTCTCTGTCTCGTAGCGTAACGCTAGCTCTCTGTCTCGTAGCGTAACGCTAGCTCTCTGACTCGTAGCCTTCGACACGTCCATTATCAGCTGTGCGTCGGACGTCTCCATTAATTCCTGATAACGGACACCTCGTTGAGCATTATCCTTCACTTATATTGTCACATGACTCTGTCCATCATACAAACGTCCCGATGAAGACTTCCTTCACATGTCACCTGAACGCATCATTATACACTGTAAAAACATCAGTCCTGAGCAGCTTTCTACATTTACTTTCATTGTGTCGACACTGTGACGACAGGCGGAGGTCAACAGCTTTTCATCAAGTAAAGAACCAAACTGCAGCTACACTAACATACAGCAATTACAGTTTATAGAATATAACAGTTTATTAAATATTAGTTTATAGAATATAACAGTTTATTAAATATTAGTTTATAGAATATAACAGTTTATAGAATATAACAGTTTATACAATATTACAGTTTATAGAATATAACAGTTTATTAAATATAACAGTTTATTGAATATAACAGTTTATACGATTTTAGTTTATAGAATATAATATTTTATAGAATACTACAGTTTATACGATATTACAGTTTATACAATATATCAGTTTATACAATATATCAGTTTATAGAATATTACAGTTTATAGAATATTATAGTTTATAGAATATTACAGTTTATAGAATATAACAGTTTATAGAATATTACAGTTTATACAAAACAGTTTATTAAATATATCAGTTTATACAATATTACAGTTTATACAATATTTTAGTTTATAGAATATTTTAGTTTATAGAATATTACAGTTTATACAATATTACAGTTTATACAATATTACAGTTTATACAATATTACAGTTTATACAATATTACAGTTTATAGAATATTTTAGTTTATAGAATATTACAGTTTATACAATATTACAGTTTATACAATATAACAGTTTATACAATATTACAGTTTATACAATATAACAGTTTATTGAATATTACAGTTAATACAATATTACAGTTTATACAATATAACAGTTTATACAATATTACAGTTTATACAATATAACAGTTTATACAATATTACAGTTTATACAATATAACAGTTTATAGAATATTTTAGTTTATAGAATATTACAGTTTATACAATATAACAGTTTATACAATATTACAGTTTATAGAATATTTTAGTTTATAGAATATTACAGTTAATACAATATTACAGTTTATACAATATTAGTTTATAAGACAGCACAGTGAGTTTGTGGTTTTGACCACCTATAAAAGTACTAATGGAGCTATATGACCTCCGCCCAGTAATATGTGGAATACAACTAATATCAATTGTCCATCATTTTAATATTATTTTGGACATTTCTGACCACTACAGTTTATGTATATATTTATATATGTGTGTGTATGAGACACAATGAGGTAACGTTTGTAAAGTAAAAGCGCCGTCCAGCCGAGCGCTGCGTCCGTCCTCAGCAGGTTTCTGTCTCCGTCTGACGTCCAGGCGATTTTTAGCCTCTCAGTGTTTACACAGGAACCAGATTCGGGTCAGGACGTCCCGACAGTGTCGTGTTTGACCCCCCCGGCGTGTTGTTTTAGGAGGTTTACTCTGCAATCTGGACTCCCTCGGGACTGAAAGTGAACTGTGATAGACGAGTGAGTTTTTACAGATATTCGATCTGAGCGATAAAAGAAACATCTTTTCTCTTGAAGCGCCTGTGGTTGTTCTTTCTGCACATAAAACACGTCCACCCACACGTTGGTATGAAAACACAGTCTGCTGGAGACAATGAGGACGTCCTACGTGGTGCATAAGCCTGTCAGTGTGGACGGATGGAGAATATAAAAGAATGACGAGGCTGAAGGAAGTTGTTGGAAGTTTGTTGAGCAGCAGCAGAAGAAGAGGGTCCACTCCTCCTGTTTAAAGGCTGTCACACCAGCAGGATCTATGTTTTAATCTGTGTGTAGGAGGGACGGCAGCCCGCGAGGAGCCGGTCAGGATGAGTTTTTGTTCCTGTCAACAGTGAGGAGACGTTAGTTCTGCAGAGACACAAAGGCAGTCAGCAGAAAGGTTCCCGGAGGATTAAAACACACACAGATCGAACTGTCTGACCCAGTTTGATCTGCTAGAAATTACCTGCTAACAGACTGCAGTACGTTGTAATGATACTGGGGCATTTACATATATAATACATTTATAATACATATACATAAATAAATGTATCTCAGGCTCAACAGACAGTGGAAGCACAGATTATGAGAGCAGTGGAATCTGCAGTTTGAGGACCTCAAACTATAAAATAAAATACACATTTTTTGTGTAAACTGTATTTGTGGTATTAGGAAGAGACAGCTCTGCAGTAGCTAGCGGTTTCAAGCTAACTGCAGTGCTTGCATCATCCACAACGTTACTATCTGCAATGTTCTTATATTTTATTTGGACCGTTAGCTCCATGCTACTAACTACCTTGCTGTTTACACATCAGCCCATCAGCCAACACCACGAAGCAACCAACACCAGACCCACACCGCGCAGCCAACCCCACTTAGCTTAGCTACAGTTAGCTAGCAGGATGGCCCTGCCTCACATCACTCTTGGCTACTAGAAAGCTATCGTTAGCTTTGTACTGTTAGCATCATTTATTGTTATGTAGAATCAACACCATGTGTCAGAATACATAAGTTAGTATGATGGATCATGTGAGCTAGGGTAGCTAACGTTAGCCAGCTAACATAACTGATCAGTACAATAAAGATGACCGTTTACAAATACAAGGAAAAATTCATGAATGTAAAACACAACATAAATAAATAACCAAATAAAATTAAAAGACATCCAATCAAATGATAAAGCTAACTAGCTAATCTACATCTGAAAGCTAACGGTAGCTAAACGCTAGCTAAACGATTCATTTACATCAATCGTTAGTTAGCTTGTTAGCTCTTATGAAACAAAAAAATTTGTTTTATTGATCGACAGTTCTAGGTTGTTTCCAATTTTCATTTTATTGTTTGAACCAGTAATGTGTCAGAAATATGGATATTGATCAGAAATATGGATATTGATCAGAAATATGGATATTGATCAGAAATATGGATATTGATCAGAAATATGGATATTGATCAGAAATGTGAATATTGACAAACTAACCTGATCTGTGACCTCCTGAACAGCTGATCTCAGTAGCGCTGTGTGTCGTTCCATATGGTGGCTCAACAACAATAACAACAACAACAAACAGTCTGTGAACCTTCTGTCACTGAACAGTCTGGAAAGAGACCCGGTCCTGGTTTCATCAGCAGGTCCAGACCAGAGCCAGACCAGGTCCTGCAGACGACATCATCAACGCTGTGACATCATCATCAGAGCAGGAACTAAATCCATGAAAACAGTCTTCAGTCCAAACACAACACGGCTCCATCAGGTCCAGTTCCCCCGCAGCAGCAGGGGATTGTGGGTCGGCAGTATCAGTTCCTCTTTTATTGAAGTCTGAAATGTTGTTTTCATAAGAAACTGAAGATGACAGCGAGGAGACGACAGCGAGACTGTCTCTGAAATAACACCGATATCCCATTAATCAATCTGCAGCTCCTGATCCTGATCCTGATCACTGACGTTACTGATCCATTGGTATCACTTTCTATATTAGTTGTTCGCTCCATCAAATGTCAGAAAATGGTGAAAGAAATCAGTGAATTATTTTCTCACACAAAACGATTCATCGATCAGGCTGCAGCTGACAGGAACGTTAGCTCTCTGTAGCTTAACTTTATTTAACAGAGTCCTATAACGACTTTAGTCCCTCTGAAATTGATAATCTTGTCGATAGTGCTACAGGCTCACTACGATCAACATTAGACTCTATCGCTCCTATAAAAAGGAAATTATTAAAACATAGGAGACTAGCACCTTGGTATAACCACCAAACCCGCCAGTTAAAACAAATAGCTAGGAAATCTGAAAGGAAATGGCGCTCTTCCAAATTATCAGAATATCGCTCAAATTGACAAGATAATCTTAAAACCTATAGAAAGGCCCTCCGTAATGCCAGAGGAGCCTATTACTCAGCACTAATAGAAGAAAATAAGAATAACCCTAGGTTCCTCTTCAGCACTGTAGCCAGGCTGACAGAGAGTCACAGCTCTATTGAGCCACATATCCCCATAAACTTAAGTAGCAATGACTTCATGAGCTTCTTCTATAATAAAATTATTACTATTAGAGAGAAAATTAATCACCAACTGCCATCAACAGTTATCAGTGGCTCTCCAAGTTCAGGGACTTCTGGCAATGTAAACTTAGATATATATTTAGACTGTTTTTCTGCTATCGATCTTCATCAGTTAACTTCAATAATTTCTTCATCGAAGCCATCAACCTGTCTATTAGACCCGATCCCAACTCGGCTGCTTAAAGAAGTTGTTCCCTTAATTGGCACTTCTTTACTGGATATGATTAATCTTTCTTTATTATCAGGATATGTACCACAGTCCTTTAAAGTAGCTGTAATTAAACCCCTTCTTAAAAAGTCCACTCTTGACCCAGGGGTTTTAGCCAACTATAGACCAATCTCTAACCTCCCCTTCCTCTCTAAGATTCTGGAGAAAGTAGTCGCCAAAGAGTTATGTGACTTTCTACATAACAATAGTTTATTTGAGGATTTTCAGTCAGGATTTAGAGTTCATCACAGCACAGAGACAGCTCTGGTTAAAGTTAATAATGACCTTCTGACTGCTTCTGACAATGGACTTGTCTCTGTACTTGTATTATTAGATCTTAGTGCTGCATTTGACACCATTGACCATGATATTCTTTTACAGAGACTTGAGCATCAAATTGGCATTAAAGGAACCGCACTAAGCTGGTTTAAGTCATATTTATCAGATCGCTGCAGTTTGTACATGTTAACGATGAATCTTCAATAAATACTACAGTTAGTCATGGAGTTCCACAAGGTTCTGTACTTGGACCAATACTATTTCCTTTATATATGCTCCCTTTAGGCAACATTATTAGGAATCACTCAACTTTCACTGTTATGCAGATGATACGCAGTTATATCTATCAATCAAACCCAATGAAATTAATCAATTATCTAAATTACAAACATGTCTTAAGGACATAAAATCCTGGATGACCTGCAATTTTCTGATGCTAAACTCAGAAAAACACGAAATTCTTGTTATTGGCCCCAAAAACCTTAGAGACTCACTGTCTAAAGATATAGTTACTCTAGATGGCATTACCTTGGCCTCTAGCACCACTGTCACGAATCTTGGAGTTATCTTTGATCAGGATTTGTCATTTAATTCCCACATAAAGCAGACCTCTAGGACTGCCTTCTTTCATTTACGTAATATTACAGAAATTAGACACATCCTATCACAGACAGATGCAGAAAAACTAATCCATGCATTTGTTACTTCAAGGCTGGATTACTGCAACTCTTTATTATCAGGTTGCCCCAATAAGTCCATTAAAACGCTCCAATAATTCAGAACGCTGCAGCACGAGTACTGACAGGAACTAGAAAAAGAGATCACATCTCTCCTGTACTAGCTTCTCTGCACTGGCTCCCTATAAAATATAGAATAAAATTTAAAATCCTCCTCCTCACCTATAAAGCTCTTCATGGTCAGGCCCCTTCATATCTTAAAGAGCTCATAGTACCCTATTACCCCTCTAGAACACTACGTTCTCTGAATGCTGGGCTACTTGTGGTTCCTATAGTCTCTAAAAGTAGTTAGCTCTCTGTAGCTCTCTGTAGCTCTCTGTAGCCTAACGTTAGCTCTCGGTCTCGGCTTGTGAAATAACTTTAGATTTTGAGTGAAAAACACTTGAAAACATAAAATAATGCTTATCTTATTTTCAGCAGTTAATAATGACGATGTTGGACAGATGCCTCTCTGGAGTCTATTAATTCCTGATAATGGACGCCTAATTAATTAATTAATAAATTAATAAAACATCCTGATCACCTCAGTTTCTGTGTGAATGATGATCAATTAGTCCTCCAGTAGCAGGTCCTCACAGTCCTGTACGAAGTCAGGTGGGACGCTGTCGGGTAAATTCCTGAAGCACATGAACTTTTCAGGTTGTTGTTGTTGTTGTTTTAGTTGTTGTTGTTGTTTTCAGGTTTCCAAATGAACTTTCTCTGAGATTCAACTAAAGAGGAAACGTCTAAAGTGGAGTTGAAAGGTTTTCACATATGTGACACACACACACACACACACACACACACACACACACACACACAGTGAAGCTGTTTAAACACGGGAACATGGCGGCAGCAGGTGGTGCAGACGTGTAGCGGCGGCGCTCTTTGGCCTGATCCAGGATCTGCAGCTCTGTCACATATGGCGCCGCCACCGCCGCCACTCGCAACCTTTGAAGACGTCGAATTAAGAGAGGGACTGGACCATCTGTCTGCTGCCTGCAGTCAGCGCTCTGTCAACAGCCAGCGTTTGTTCTCTTTATTGACTTCACCTGTTTGAAGCTGTGCTACCTTCGCTGTCCTCAGTTCAGCTCAGTGCGGAGGACAACAACAGGAAGTCATTTCACAACTCTTTCACAAACAGACAGCAGCTTCTCACAGGTGAGGTTTGTTAGAAGAGGAAGTGCTGCCTCATTACGAAATGCCACAAGGTGTCCCAATATCTGCCGCCATGTGAATGTAACTGATAAAAAGCCCAAAAGTACAACCACACCTGAATGTTACACCATATATACATACAGCTGTTAAAGGGCGTCCATGTTTTTATGGCCATATACCAAATATTCACCGTTACCTCATTTTAACTTAATATGTTTGTTTACAATAGAAACAGAAACAAAGATAGCTCGTTGGTAAACAGCAGATCTTCACCTCCCCAATATGGCGGCATTAGTAACGTTAGCTCTCTGTCTCGTAGCTTAGCATTAGCTCTCTGTCTCGTAGCTTAGCATTAGCTCTCTGTCTCGTAGCTTAGCATTAGCTCTCTGTCTCGTAGCGTAATGTTAGCTCTCAGTGACTTTATTGATCAATGACTTAATGATCTGTAACTTTATTGATCAATGACTTAATGATCTATAACTTTATTGATCAGTGACTTTATTGATCTGTAACTTTATTGATCTGTAACTTTACTGATCAATTACTTTATTGATCTGTAACTTTATTGATCAATGACTTTATTGATCAGTAACTTTATTAATCTTTAACTTTATTGATCAGTAACTTTATTAATCTTTAACTTTATTGATCAGTGACTTTATTGATCTGTAACTTTATTAATCTATAACTTTATTGATCAGCAACTTTATTGATCTGTAACTTTATTGATCAGTGACTTTATTAATTTGTAACTTTATTGATCAGTAACTTTATTGATCCGTAACTTTATTGATCAGTGACTTTATTGATCAGCAACTTTATTAATCTGTAACTTTATTGATCAGTAACTTTATTGATCCGTAACTTTATTGATCAGTGACTTTATTGATCAGCAACTTTATTAATCTGTAACTTTATTGATCAGTAACTTTATTGATCCGTAACTTTATTGATCAGTGACTTTATTGATCAGCAACTTTATTAATCTGTAACTTTATTGATCAGTGACTTTATTGATCAGTAACTTTATTAATCTGTAACTTAATTGATCAATGACTTTATTGATTGACTTCATTGATTTGGGGCGGCAGTAGCTCAGTGTGTAGGGACTTGGCTTGGGAACAGGAGGGTCGCCCGTTCAAGTCCCACAGACCACAAAATATGGAGTGTGGACTGGTAGCTAGAGAGGTGCCAGTTTCACCGCTTGTGCACTGCCGAGGTGCCCTTGAGCAAGGCAACCTAACCCCAAAACCTGCTCATGAGGCGCCGGTAACGTTGCAGCTCTATCACTCCACCATCTCTCTCCCCTTTGCATGTCCACAAGAGCATCAAGTGTGCATTTCAGCCTGGGTGGGTATAAAAAAGAGTGAAAAGAACAATTTCACCTAGGGGATCAATAAAGTATATCTTCTTCTTCTTCTTCTTCTTCTTCTTCTTCTTGATCAGTAACTTTATTAATATGTAACTTTATTGATCAGTAACTTTATTGATTAGTGACTTTATTTATCAGTAACTTTATCCATTAAACAGATAAAGCAGTTACATGGTGGCTGCTGTATTGTGTTTAAGACTGTGAACGTTGTTGGTATTCGGACTGTGAACGTTGTTGGTCTTCACACTGTGAGTTCAGACTGTGTCACACCCTCACAAGGATTCAATGACACAACCAGATCTCTGTGGTCCTCTGAAGGTCTGCCAAAACCCTTATGAGTCACATCGGGCTCAGAACCAGGACCACATCACAAACACAGGCTGGGAGGGTACTAAATGAAATAAATTCATAACATAGTATTTTATATATGTTTACTACCATCAACCCCTCTGTGGCTGCTGCGTCTCTCTCTAATGCCAGTTTCTGCTGGTTTCTGCCAGTTTCTTACCAGTTTCAGTCAGTTTTTAACAATTTCTGCCACTTATTTTCAGTTTCTACCAATTCTTACCAGTTTCTGCCAGTTTCTACCAGTTCCTTCTAGTTTCTACCAGTTTCTACCAATTCTTAGCAGTTTCTGCCATTATCTCCCAGTCTTTAGCAGCTCCTACCAGTTTCTGCCAGTTTATTACCAGTTTCTTCCAGTTCTTACGAGTTTGCCAGTTTCTATCAGTTTCTACTAGTTTATTACCAGTTTCTGCCAATATCTCCCAGTCTTTAACAGCTTCTACCAGCCACTCATGCAGATTGTTTACAGCATTCATTCAAAAACAAGAGATTTTAGTTGGGTCGCAAACAAATTTGCTTCCCTCCTTCTTCTTCTTCTTTTGTCATTTATAAAGTAGTTAAATGTGTTAATTGTTGTATGTATCAAACATATGTCTTTAAATGGCTGCTTTACCTGTTGAAGATAATCTGACGTGATGCAGAAACAGCAGTAAAGATGCTCAGAAACCTTCATTTATGCACAAATTAGCTCTTCTCTCTGTGAACTGTGCTCTGTGGTTTTGTTATTTTTAAAAAGTGGGAAGCATAAACCTGCATTAGAGGAAAACTGTAGTCAAATCACCGGAGACAGAAAGCAGAAAGTGAGCTAACGCTGAGCATCACTTCATCATGAATCATTAAACAAGGAGAAATAAAACTGGGAAAAATGTGTAAACCAGGCCTGCTGCTAAATTATATGATTGTTTGTGAGCAAGTTCTGTCCTGAATTGCCAAGAAAACTCCTGGAAAGGTTCTGGAAAGGTCCTGGAAAATGGGAACCCTGAAGATGTTCTACAGAGATGACTGCTGGCAGTAACAGCAGCCATCAAACTCTGGCACTGACATGATGAAAAAGTTATTAATCTGATTGTATTTGTTTATATTTATTGATTTGGACATTAAAACACGTCTCAGTTTGTTTTCTGTCCAACATGGAGGACGAGAACTGGAGGAATCTCTGTCCTGATTTGGAAAACTCCCTGTGGTTTATTTTTTTCCTCTGAAATCCCCGTCAGTGACTCATCGCTGCTGGAGGAAGAGTTTCCCTCCTCTTTGTCCTCCTCTTCCTCCTCCTCTGGTATGTCACTGCTGCTCTTCTTCTCTGTGTTAGTTCTCACTGAGCGCGCCCAGTGAGCACGCTCAGACATCCAGATGCTGCAGCTTCTCATCTGTTTCGCTTTAATAAAACTGAAATCAGTGAAATTTATTTATTCATTGTAGCTCTGATTAGAAAAAACAGTCTGCTGTTGAGACTTAACTTTATGAAGTATAATTATAGTATAATTAAAATAATACTCACACTTTCCTGTGTGAGTATTATTTTGAGTTGCAGCCACCGTCAACGTCAACAGAGATAACAGAGCCTCTGTTTCTATTATAACTTTCATTGATATTTTTATAACAGTGAAAACACGGATTACAGGAATATCTCGTCAATATCGTCAATGGCAGGAAGCGTTACGTCTTAAATGACATGAAAAATTAGGAAAATTTAATAAATGGAGGATAAAGCGTTAAAATAAAAGTGTGACATTTTTTTTTGAGATTTTAAAAGCTTAAGAGTAAATGAGTTCTGCAGTGACTCAAATGAAAATAAACTGCTGTCGAGTCAAATAGGAAAATAAAAGGTTTTTGCGTGTTGACAAAAACAAATTTAACAAATAAAGTATCAATAGATTCAAAGACACTGATAATAAACAGTTGATTCAAGTGTGATTTGTCCTCGTTTTAGTGCAGCAGTATAGCTGCACTAAAACGAGGACAAATCACACTTGAATCAACTGTTTATTATCAGTGTCTTTGAATCTATTGATACTTTATTTGTTAAATTTGTTTTCTTTGTAATTGTTGGACATTTATTTAATTATTATTATGTAATGTTTTATAATCGATATTGTCTTATTGTGTGGTATAAGATGTAATCAGTCAGTTATTGTTTTAACTCTTAATAATTTGCATTGAATACAGACTAAAAGGTCAAATTAAACCTATAAATGTTGGTGATTTCAGATGTAACTTTACTGCCACAAAACTCGTCTGGAACCATCTTTATGTGTTTAATCTGTGACTTCTGACCTCTGCCTGTGTAATGTGTGGTATAAGGTGTAATCAGTTTTATTGATTTAATTCTTAATAATCTGGATAAAATATGGATAAAAGATCAAATTAAAGCTTTAAATGTTTGCTTTGATGATTTCAGATGAACTTTGTGCAGTAGAACTCATGTGAAACTGTCTTTATGTTCGCTCTGTGACTTCTGACCTCCGCCCGCACTATAAAGCTCAGGTCCGATGGTCGAGAGTTCGTGCTCTGACTGACTGACTGGCTCCTCATTGTGTGCGACAGGTTACTGAGCGTGCTCAGTCCGCCCCCCCCACTCACTCACTCTGGGGGCTAACACTCGCTCATCAGAGGAATTCTGGGGGAATTTATGCACCATCTCTCGGCTAATTGAATTAGACGCATCGTGTCGACAGTGTGTCCATTGTAGAAGCTGCACAATGTTGAGCTTCATGAGTCGCCACCCCCCCACCCCGCACCCCCAACAACCACTGGCTCTTTATTTTGTTCCAGTCAGTGATCCGCCTCAGGCTCCAGTGCTGGACTTGGTCGATCATTAACCAAGTGGGGGGGGCACCACAGGACCAGACCGGGGGGTCAAGTCACCTACAGGGCAGGATGGGGGGGGCAGTTAGGGTTCATATGTTAACTAGTGTGATATATATAAGCATTAACTAATAAACTATGTAAATAATAAACTACACATATGGAGATATACTTCAATCCATTCGGGCCCCGCTCTGGTTCTGTGTCTCATTTGGGCCCCGCTCCGGTTCTGTGGCTCATTCGGGCCCCGCTCTGGTTCTGTGGCTCATTCAGGCCCCGCTCTGGTTCTGTGTCTCATTTGGGCCCGGCTCTGGTTCTGTGGCTCATTCGGGCCCGGCTCTGGTTCTGTGGCTCATTCGGG